CGGCCTCCTCTGCCCTGGGACGACGGCGCCGAGCGCGGGCTCGGGCTCTCCTTGCCCCGCGCGGGCGGCGTGGCTGCGCCGGCCTCCGCCTGGTCGCGGGCCCTGGGCGAGGGCGAGCTGGGCTTCTGACGGGGAGAGAGGCAGAGAGGGCACGGAGGGGGTGGAGAGGGGACGGAGGCACAGACAGAGACGGGGCGGAAGAGACGCCCGCAGAGACAGAGAAAACCGAGGAGGTCGAGAGTCCAGAGCAGAGAGAGAGAGGGAGGGAGGGAGGCAGAGCCGGAGGAGACAGAGCAGGGGAAGTTAGGGAAGCAGGAGACGGGCAGAGAGAGGAAAAGAGGAGAGACAGATAGAGGACAGACCAAGAGAAGGAGCGAGGTCGAGGGTGAGAGAGCGGGCGGGTGGGGTGGGGGGAGAGAAGGAGAGGGGGCTTTCACCGGGCCCAGGCCGGGGGCTGCCAGTCCCGGAGCATCGCACACACGGTTCCCCGCGCCTGCCCTGCCTCTGCCTCTCCTGAGTGTCCACCTTCTGGCCTCAACAGTGCAGCTCATGCAAGGTTCTCGGCATGCAAAACACAAGAGGGACGGAGCGGTGGGGGGCAGGGGGGCTGAAACGGAGGGGGCTCCAGGACGGGCACGGGGGGCTGGCATTGGCCCCCGATGGGACGGACGATCCCGGCAGAGAGTAGAGAGAGGGCGGGCCCCGGGAGGCCGGGCCAGGGCCAGTCCCCCCAGGCCAGGCCCCCCAGCGCGTGGGGGTGGGGGAGGGAATGGAGGGGGCACACGGCACACAGATGGGGGTGGGGGCGGGGCGGGACAACTGAACTCAAAACTGAACCGAAGAAAGGGAGGAAAAACAGAAATAAAAAAAACAAAATCCACAAATGTCATTAGATACCAAAATCAAAAACAATGTCTGAACTCCTGGGGAACTGACATTTTTTTCTGTTAACATTTTTCTTTCTTTGTTTTCCGGCCCTGCAGAGACCTGTGGAACTGTCAGCAGCACCCGACTGTCTTTCTGTTTCTCTCTTTTCTTTTCCTTTTTTTTTTTTTAAGTTCTGATTTTTTAAGTCCCTCTTGGTTAACGTCCACTTACCAATAAAGTGGCACTTCCTCCTTTAGTAGGTAAGATGTGTAAGAGAAGGGAAAAGTGTGGCAGCGTAAGTTCATCATCAGATTCACAAAAATGCAAGAGAGATAGAGAGAGAGAGAAAAAAAACGCAACCACCCCACTCTAGGCCGAGAGGAGGCCACACCGCCTCTGGAGGAAGGACTGGCAGCGCCCGGCTCCTCGGGCCTGAGCAGGCACCTCTTGGGTGACTGCCGGATAGAGATGTCAAATGTTTCTCCAAAAGTGCAGTTAGGACACAAGGGTTGGGATTCAGAAAACCAGAAAGGGAGCCTGGTACCATCAAACGGGCCCTGGCTGGCCACCAGGGGTCTGAGAGCCTGCCACTACCTCACTGAGTGACCCTGGCCAAGTCCCTTCCCCATCCTGGGCCTCAGTTTCCCCATCCACAAAGTGAGAGGGTTGGGCTTTGCTTCCTGATGTCCCTTCCGGAGCAAATATTCCAGGATTCTCTGTGCACCCCTGGCCACCCTCTCCATCCTCCTCCCTTCACAGAACTGACCCCTCCTCCTGTCCTTGGGTTTCCGTCTGGTAACGGTTGATTACGCTCCTCTGTTTAGAAGTCCATCGCCCACCCTTACCCCACCCCCAATCACCAGCACCAACTTGACTTTGAGCACCCCCAGGGCAGATTATTTTGTTGGATTCAGCTCTGTAACCTCGGTTTTGATCACAGAACTTGGCATCTAGGAGGTCCTCAATGCCTCTTGCTGAGGAAGGAATAAATGCTTTGACAAGGGTGGGGGACCAAATCAGGTTCGTCCTAGAAGAAGGGCAGGGTCCGGGCCAAGCTTTTTCGGCAGGCTTTTTGGATGAGAGAACAAACCAACTACCACCCCTCAGGGCACCTTGCTGCCAAGAGACTGGAAGGAGCATGGTTTCCTTGGCATGGCCCTGGTGCTTGCAAGAGGCAGGGTAGTGCCAGGGTCTTTCTGGGCAAGCCTCCATCCAGCCAGGGCTGGGAGGCAGAGCCCAGAAGACAGTCTCATTGGTGGAAAGGCACAGCCAGTTTGTGATTGGTGGCTGAAGCAGCCAATGAACACTGGCCATAGCAGGTGCAGCCGCGGTCCAGAGTCAAATGGGCCATGAAGGCCTCCTGGGACAGCCTGGTGTTTCCCTCTGGAGCAGAGTGGATATCACTGGGTACTGAGATGCCCCCCTGAGCACCCCGACTCTCCTGATCACCCCTCATCCTAGGCTAGGAGACATGAGAACTGGGCTGACTAGCCAAGGCCCCTCTGAGATGGCAGTTCCATTCTCAACAGACCTCACCAGGAGACCCTTGGCTTCCCTGAGACATATCCCCTCCACCCCAGCAGGTGGCCCGTGCCTACAGCTCCCAAACCCCCAGGACTAGGTTCTGTCATACAGCATCCCTTTCCCTCCAGAGGAAGCAAATGAGAAAGAAATCTCCAGGATCTTCAAATTTCCAAGTTCTTTCCTATCTCCTGAGTTGTCTTCGAGAGTAAAGTGAACAGATACTAGGTGGGGGAGTGGGAGCCCTGGGAGCCAAGGCAGAGTGACCCATGCATACCCAGGAAACACTGGACCCAGCCTTTAAGAAGCCCTTGCTTACTACTGTGGTGGGGGCAGGTAGCAAGGCAAGCAGGCAGAATATTAAACTGGAGGTCAGGACCTGGCTGTGAACCCTGGCTCCAACCTAGACTCTGGATCTGTGCCACCTTCTCTGACTCCAGGAGAGAGGCCAGCAGTGGGGGAAGGAGACTGAAGGCCTTGATGTTCCTTTCCATAGACACCGTGGGGGCCCTCTCTACTTCCCACTGTTGGGCTGGGAGTGTGGTGGGAATGTTAGGAACAAAAAGGGTCTGGGTTGGGTGGATGCCCACCCCCACCATGTTGCCACTCATAAGCGCTGAGGCCCAAGCCTCTGCACCAGGCCCCCTGTGCTTCTCTGGATGCTTGCTGCCTGGTGTGCCTTGAAGTCGAACCCTCTCCCCTCCTCCAAGCCAAATACCATAGCTTCAGATGATAGTAACTGGCAAAGTGGAACACCCTGGAATCAGCCCTGATGTGAGTTTGCTGTGAGACCTCAAGGAAGTGACCTAACTCTTGGGGGCCTCAGTTTCCTCCTTGGTAAAGTGGGGATAACTGGGGTCTTTGCTGGGTGGGCCTGAATAGGGGCTGAGTAGTTCTTCTGAGAGCACCAGTGACTGACAGTCCCCTCATGGATGCACAGGGTCAGAGCAGTGCAGGAAGGTCTGGGCACCCCCACGTGCCAGGATGGGGGAGGACGGGAGGAAGGCGCCACAGTGTAGGGTGGCAGATAGCAGCTTCCCTGGGGGAGGATTCCTAGGGTCAATCTCACACCCTTATCCATCCATTCCTCCCTGGAGAAAGGGTCACCATGATCCTGCCGGAGGGTGAGCCTCAACCTCAGCTTGGCTGGGTCTCATTCTTCCCAAGAATTGAGGGAGATCCAAGTCCAGACACCATGGGATTTCATAGCTAGACAGGACTGTTGTGGCCAGGGACCTCCAAACATCTACTCTAGAAGCCTGCTCTTTGTGACTCCTGTCCCCTCTTCCCCTTCCTTGCCTCCCCCCCGCACCCTGCCAGCCTGGCTAATGCCTATGGGCCCTCAGCTCAAGACCACCTCCTCCAGGAAGCCTCCCCTTACCCTCACCCTGAGTCAGGTGCATTCCTCTGTGATCCTACAGACCCTTGTGCCTTCTTTCAGTAGGGATTGTGCCAGGGTGTGCTAGAGCCGGGCCTATGGTAGTGAGCAGAGCTCCCCATCCACGGTTCAGCTTTTCTCTCTAATTGTTCTGAGTCATTTTTGTCAGTCCTCTAGCCTGGCAGGTGGGGGCCTCAAACCCAGGTCGGCCTGCCTCTCGCCAGGCATGGACACCCACGTGGGGCCTGGCATGGAGGTGTGCTCAGCAAATGCCAGCTTAGCGTGTGTGTGAATGAATGAATAAGTGAGGGCACAGGACCTTGCCTGTCTTTGAGCCTGGCTTCCAGAAGCCGCTCTGCTCCTTGGTACCACCTGCTATCTGCTATCTTCTCTTTTGCTTATGTAAGAAATCTTTGAGGGGAAAAGACAATGGAAAAGAGTAGCAAGAGATGGTGCACTAGCCCAATCCTGCTATTTTTAAGGACAAGAACACTGAGCATCTGGGATGCTTTACCCTTGCTCCCCCTCCAGGGCTCAGACAACTACCCCCCTAACTCAGCACTGGACGATTCCATTTCTGGGTCCCTGGTCACACCAGGTCCTCCCGGAGGATAGGGCCTCTACTCCTCCCATCAGGCTGGGATGGAGTCTCCCTGCGGGACCAACAGCTATTTCTCCCTCCCTGAACAACTTCCTGCCTGCCTTCCTGACACCACTCACAGATGAGGAATGTTCTGAGTGAGCGAACTCCTCATCACATGCCCCTGGGGTGGAGGGAGGGGGGAGGAGAGGATGGAGAGCCAGGCCTACTCTTTCCAAAGCTGAGGATGGAGGCCCACCTAAGCCTCACAAGGGCTGGGATGTCGGACTTCTGTAGCTACTCCCAGATGGGACAGGAAACAGCTTAAAGAGCAGGGATGGGGAGGCGGGTCCCCCAAGGACCTACTCCTGACGGGTACCCTCAATGTGACTGGATGAGCACTGGGCTGGGAGTTGCAAGCCTCAGGACCTAGGCTTGGTTCTGCTCCAACAACTTGGGGAAACCTAGCCCTTACTGACTGTCCTTTTTCTGACTCCTTCTCTGCACATTAAGCTCAAATTCAGAAGACAGAAGGATGCTGGGGGGTTGAGGGAGCCCCTGTCTGGGATGGATGGGTAGTGGTCCAGGCAGGGGGAGAGTGAGCTGAGAGTCCCTTCCATCCCCCAAATTGCCCCACAGAAACTTTGCTAAGTAGGCCCTCTAAGTCCAGTGCCAATTCATTGGCCCCCTGAAGTTCAACTCCCATTACACCCAAAAGATGGGGCTGTGAGGTTCAGCCCTGAGGCCAGCTGCTGCCCCAGGTCTGTAGCTCCCACCCT